AACAAGGTAATTACCTGGGAGGAAAATGCATGACTTTCCATCGCCTATATAACCCTCTTTGCACGAGCACAAATATGACCCAATAGTATTTGTACAGGTTGCACTCTCATCACTGTCGCAGTTATGGCTTCCAATTTTACACTCTTCTCTGTCTGTGTGATATAACAGTAGTAAGTACAGTAATAAGCCGTGTATCTACAATATCGTTAGCTAGGCCAACTGGTAAACCAGTGTAAAAGGGACCTTTTGTCTACGTTGAAGTTTTCCTTCTTAAAGGTTAATGGGATTCACCCCGCATTTTACTCAACGGATGAAGACAAAAGGCTATGACGTCATCGGCGTTTATGCATTCCTCCTCGAATTCTCCTAGACGATCCTAAGGCAGATATTCCGGTTTTGCAATCATAGCATCTATAAATAGTTCTGATACTGTGATGATATTAATATCTAGAATGATGATGGGATATTGTTTAATCGGAAAAATTGAAGAACAGCTCCCCATAAAAAAATCTGTCGGCCATCTGTCCACCAAAAGTCCACCGACAAACGGCCGATTAAACTGTAGGAGCGCTGCTACATTGTTACGCTCGTCGCGTACGATGTAACTTGCTGCCCACTATGTAAACGCCTGGAACAGGCTATCAGTAAGATAATACGGAGAAAGAATGACTTCATGTATGGGAGTGTACTTCTGTCTCTGACCTCATATATAGTTTTAAGGCATATTGGCCATGATGATTTACCGGTGCATGATGTTCCATTTCCAATGCATATGTATCCAGGGCTGCATGTGCAATCAAAGGATCCCTCAGTGTTATTACAGAAAGCAGCGGCATCACAGTTCTGGATGTGGTGATAATATCTAAAAGGAGAGAAAAAAGATCTTGTCTTTGCAGACCGGTTTTTATGAGAAAGCTGCGTAAGGTACTGAGGTAATATGGACAGAGAATGTCGCTAGAGAAGCACACTCTATGCATGAGGTGCTTCTTTCTCGACGCCATGAGAGGAATCCGGTTTCCGGATTGCGGAAATTTTTTTGCTAGTAGAATCCGGAATCCTAGCCTTTGCAAGCCGAAATACGGCTTAAGGAATCTGGAATTCTACTAACGATAAGAATCATAGCCTGCTTATAGCTAGCGGAATTGCTTTTATGCATGCGAGAGGTTTGACCGCGAATCCGCCATTCTCGCGTCTTTGCCTCGAGAAGTGAGTACTTTGTTCGCGCTAAATAACAATCCTGCCTGTTACGGAGGCTATTTGAATCAGAGAATCCGGAAACCAGTATATGGAATTTTGAATCCACAGTGTGGAATCCAGAATCCAAGACTGTCTTGGATTCCCTTACCTTGGGTGATACTATGTATTGTTCCTCGATTTACCGGTACATGTTGTTCCAAGTCCAGTGTATCCAGGGCTGCATCAGTTATAAGATCCCTCAGTGTTATTACAGAAAGCATTGACATCACAGTTATAGTCGTTCGTCATACACTCATTAATATCTGGAAGGAGAAAAAGAGCTGTAATTTTCGCGAGTAAGGTAATATTCGAGGGGCTATGTTACAGTCGAACCTCTACTAACAGACGCGTATCCACAACGGCCACCTCTCTACAGCTGCCACCCTCTTGGCGGGCAGTCCATACATTGACTCTTGTTTAAACCTCTCTACAACGGCCACCGCTCTGTAACGGCCCCCACTTTCCTCTGTCCCCAAAATGGCCGTTGTGGAGAGGTACCGTTCAACCTTATATTCCTGTTTGCGGCTGGGCAATTAAAGTAACATTTCTTACCTACAGGATGCATGAGTGATTATTATTCGAGGTCTGGCGCTTCATAGAATAAGTTTGCACGTGACGTCACGGCGGCCATGTTGGTGGTCAATAACAAAAGCATTTCTCTCCTCTTGGATCTAAACTCTAATTTTCATGTGAAATCTTCGAAAAAAAATTCTATTGCATTGACCCCCAACATGGCCTTCTTGTCACGTGGCTGCAAACCAAGAATTTTTTTGTGATTTATTTATTTGTCTTGAAATGAACGCTTGTAAAATATGGGGAAGGCAAAACGCAACCTAAAGTCAATCACAACTTAATTCTTTGATCAATTATTATCGAGGCTAGCACGGAATTGACGTTTTAAATATTTTTTTATGTTGCAGTCGGTTCACTGCTTAATAATTACCAGTGCATAATGTTCCATTTCCAGTGTAACCCGGGCTGCACGTGCAGTTATAAGATCCCTCAGTGTTATTACAGAAAGCATTGGCATCACAGTCATGGGCGTTGGTGGTACACTCGTTTATATCTGAAAGGGAAATCCAAAAAAAGAAGAAAAAGAAAAAAGCTCCTTTTCTAAAGGCAGCAAGTGAACGTAAAGACAAATTAACATATGACCATGTTGTACTTTTTCGCTTGTGTTTGCTCATGCAGGACTTTGCTACGTATAACCGCTACTTAAAAGAGTTGTTGACTAAGAAAAAGTGTCATCTTTTCAGCTTAACCTACCAGACTGAGGGAAATGCGTTTTGGAGCCATGCAGTAATCGCCGGTTGTAGGCAGTTTGGATCAAAAAGTTACTAACGTGCGCTTACCTTGCCCCGCGGCTTCAGGTTTTGATACTTTTGCAGCATGGTCCTTTCGAGAGATTATCAATGAGAACATAACGGCAGCTATAACCAAAACGATTACAGCTAACAGGCATATGACCATACTCAAAGAAATGAGCATTCGCCGGTGTTTTTCGCTGATAATTACTACACCTTCTTCCATTGCGCCTTTCAAGTTGTTTGTTCTCTGCCAGCAATTTGGTTGAAAGAATGGTGCTTTAAGAAGCGGTGGTAATCATGTGTGACAGCACAACGTGCTTTCAGCATAACTCAGATCCGTGCCATTTTGCTGTTTATTTTACCTATCTTTCGAACTTAACAAAAGAGGTCTTTAATCGCCATACGCAAGGGAAAGACCCGATGGCCATGGAATATTTTATCAAGGGGTTGGAATTTCTAAAAAAAAAATGCCATTTTAACCTCTGAGGTTTTTATCAGTTCAAAATTGAAATTTGGAGTTGGAAATGAAATTTGCATTGTAAATTGTTACACCCGGGGGATTACAGTATTACAGTGGAATCTTTCTGTTTGAACCTATTACTACGTATTCCATTGTTGTAGCACTGCAAAAATTTAATTCCTAGTCTGCGTATATATTCCATTAATTTTATTGGACCGGTTATGTCACCGACCATGATGAATCAAAAGGCTAGCTAGAGACCTTTCTTTACAGTTTTATTTACCATCTAGCTTTGTCAACCATCATTGGACAAAAGAAGATATAAGCATCAGTGAAAAAAAGATAATTTATTTAAGGATTTAAGAGTTTCAACGGGGTGAAGACATTTCTAGTCAGTGAATAACTTATGTGTGTTAAATTAATTTAGTTGTTGATTACATTGTTAAATTCAGTTTGGGATCATTACACCCTTTGTAAGCCGCTCCTTGTGAATTTCACACCACTAGACGCCGACCAGTTTACTAGTGGATGCTTTTTACGTTTTCCTATAGGTATAACTGCGTTTTATTTGTACTTGAACGTTTGCATCGCTTTTTTAAAATGATCTGACTCCGTTTACTTAGTTATTTTTTTGCTCAACATATGATCTTGTTAGCGCTTATGGTGTGTCTTAAATCTAGCTATTCTTAGTGCTCCGTATGTATTTTCCGCATTATATCCCCTATATTTTTGTGCTTTGGCTGTAACTCTTACTACTATAATAACTTGATTGCTGGCGGCTCCCTCCATTTATCATTGTGTTGTTTTGTCTCTTTATACTAATAACGGAAATATTCTCTATTCGGCTGAGCGTAGCGAAAGCCAGAATAGAATTTTGCTCAGTTCTATATGGCTCATGGTAATTTTATATGCGTTACTTTTTAAAGATTTTAACGATGCTTCTAACGATTAATTAATAAATTGTCATGCTTTACGCCTAACGTCAAAACCTTTTGGCTCTTTAACTGCAAACAGTTACTATCAAACTAAAATCGTCAGCAGATATGTTCCTGTAATGTTTTTGTATGATGTTTCAGTCATGAAAAAGCGGCAATGAGGCCCAAGAAAACTAAACCGCAGGCAAAGACATAGTTTGTGGTTCTGTGACTAGCTTGCGTGTCCTGATCTAACCTTTCGAGATCGGGCTAAAATTTTTCGAGACCCGCGGTTTTTGAGGTACCATTCTATATCCGTATTCCTGAAATAATTCAGGTGTTTACGGGTTTGTAAACTTAGCAGTTAGCACCATTAAGACCGTCTTATAACGACAACTTGGCGGCCACAACTAAACATCACTTTCTTGATCTTGATCTCCACGCGTACGTCTTTACCGTCGTTTACGCCCATATGTCAACACCTAGCTTACGAGGAATTACCCTTTAGGCGACCAGAGAGCTTCCTCGTAGGTTAGGCCCGTGGATGTCCCCAATAACAGGCGTACTTTGAGCAATTTCTTGCACCCAAACTGTGTGTGTCAATGTTGACATATGGGCGTAAATACTTGGCCAATGCATATAGGGTGATATACGGGTATGGTGATTTTAACATTGTTGATCAACCATTTGGCATTTATGAACCTATTGTAGAGAGAAGCCCATAAGAGCAAAGAAAGCTTTGTTCAGTACAAATTTAAAGAGAATTTCTCGTTGCTTAAGTGGCAAAGATTCAGAGGATTCCCAAGGGAAAGCAGTTGGTTTATCAGACGAGAAATTATGAAAGAATAGTTCATTTCCTCGTTCTGACTAATAATAAAAATTTTGCACGGTGAAAGATTCATTCCATGGGTTCCTTTTTAAAAGGGCAACTCTCAGATCCTCTTGCAACTTGTTCATTGTAAGTGGCCGTAATGTACTGACTTCTCTTGGGAATCTATACTAGTCAGTGCAGCAGTATCGATACTGAATTCTCTTGGGGATCTAGTCAGTGCCGCAGTATCGAAAATGTCTTCTTCTGGGAATCTAGTCAGTGCCACAGTATCGCAGAGAGCATCCTGGTGTTCCACTCAGCAAGTAAACGAAGTACTCCCCACAGTTCCGTACTTGAATGTTGGTTGACCAATAACAGCAGTTTGAGCTCCAGTGAAAGCAGACCTGCCTGGTGACTTGTCCGTCTGCCACAGTGGGGTGATTTCCGTTTAACCAACCAGTGGCACGCGTGTTGCATCTATTTATGGGAACACACGCTGTTGGCATTTTCCTCCCCGCTCCTTCAGTAAAACGGTACCAACCGGATTTTGAACTATCACATTCCACAGAGGTAGTGGCCCATGTCGCTTTCCTCTTAGATGAGGTCAATGTCTGGTAGGTTTGACATTCTAGGTTATAATCAAAGAGCCATAATTTCAGTAACGTGGTAGAAATATCCAAAAAAATAAATACTATCAATTCTAATTCAACTGCATGGTCTTTCAATGAAATTTCACATGCCGATCTTCCTGTTCGCCATCTCGTTCTGTCAGGTCAGGAAACAGGTCGGACCTCAGGACTAATGAGAAGGTTAAGCCATATACTGAGTAAGTTAAACACTGCCGTTTTTCTTAACCAAGTGTTCGCACTAATAATCAGCAAAATGTTTAGATTTCACTTTTTCTACCATAGCATGGAAAAAATGTTTAGTTTCTAAACTAGTTTTCTTTATCCGAATTGTCAATAACATCTCTATTGGCGGCTAATTATATATAATATAGAGGGAATTTTAAATTAAGGCAGCGGGGACCAAGTAAGATAAGATTAAGGTATCTGTATTTGCGCAAATGATTCTCATAGGCAGCTTGTTTATTAAGTCTCAAGGATAGAGCGATTTTCGCATGACCTTGAAATGAAAACAGGCGAACAAAACAGAAACAACAAACGAACGGAAATAGAACGATTTGATTGGTTTATCGAACGGATGCAAACGCGCGTGGCTTTTGGTTGGTTATTTATGGTCAAGCGAACGCTCGGGTGAAAAAATGTCATGCCAGAGAACTTTCTGGAAATCAACCGATACTTCGCTTTGACGTCATGCTCCAACACGAATGGTCAATCAAGCAATACCTTCTCCATATTAGGGTTTTCTTTGGCGGGAAAACGAAGAGTCCATGTTTTGATCTTTTCATCCATTGGCTGATAAAACAAATAACGAACACTTACTGAAACCATTTTTCAAGGTCATACGAAAATCGCTCTATTGCTGTTTTAGGTCAATTCTGTGCTAAAGTTCATTACTTAGTACCTCAAACCTTACGGACACAAAATGCTCCTGATGCTTCTGTGGAGTTATCAGGAACTAACGATCCAACAACGCGGACGGCAACAAGAACGTCAAAACAACAAAAGGTTTAATAAGCAAAACAACAAATTTGCACGTGCATCACGCTTTTTTGTACATTTCTTTCCTGTTTTTGCACGACTTCGACGTGAAAATGCCTAATTTTGCCTTTTAAGGAGGACGTAAACAAGCAACGACGAAATTATATTTCTCTCTCTGAGCTTGAATATGGTCACTTGAAATTCAGCTTCAGGAGGGTTCGCCTACATTTGACAAAGTAAGTGGGTAGGAATAATCCCTGTAAAGACTAAAAGAACGCAAATTGACTTTTTAAGCGCCGTTCTCGTTGCCGTCGCGTCGTTGGATCTTAAAGTCCCCATTTAGGGCCTGTTTACTTGGAGGTGGGGGACCCCAGGTAGGTGAGGTAACCCGCTTAGGTGGGGTAACCTGCCTGTCCATATTATCGCTCATTTTAATATGATCACGTTTACATGTTAGGTCACGCGCCATATGTTACCTCACCTACCTGGGGTCCCCCACCTTCATGTAAACAGGTCCTTAGTGAAGAAGATGTCAAAAAAAATTCATCAGAGAAAACTGACTATAATAATGTTATGGTGATTTGTACAAGCATAGCATTCAATTTTTAATCCAGGTCCATCCTTGCAATCCGTAAAAACAGACGACTGGGAACAGTTTTAGTGCCTAAATATGGTCTAAAATAACAAACCAGGACCATTATTTTTGGAATTCAATTGATGCGAAGACACGTTTTAGCTTTGTCAAAAAGTTGGCAAATAACGTGACAGAGCCCCTTTAATTCTGCATTTCTCGGCCCTGTTTACCTGTGTAGGGAAGACTGCAAGTCCTTCCATCTCCTTCATAACCGTCTATGCAAGAACACAAATATGAACCAATAGTATTTGTACAGGTTGCTCTCTCATCACTGTCGCAATCATGACTTCCACTTGAACACTCATCTATGTCTGCGTGATATTATTAAATTGAACGGCAATAAGCTATTTGTATCTACTTATTCAGTGGCGTATTTAGACCCAAAATAAACACAAATCTACGGGTAACCAGGTGCAAGGGAGAATTTTTTACCGTATAATTCTTTTATTACTGGTCTGCACGTGACGTCAAGGCTGCCATGTAAGTGGTCGACAACAAAAACATTTCTCTCCTCTGGGAAATAATCACCCTTCTCATGCAAATTCCTCGAGAGAAAATTCTTTGTCACGTGGTTGCAAATAAAAAATTTAGTGCACCTCCCATTGTGTCATGCGTGTACTAAAACCAGCTCTGCACCGGTGCCTATGAAAATCTGGGTATGAAAAGATCGTTCAGTCGTGAGACACTTAAGGTGCATCATTTAAATTAAAAAACTCATGAATTAATTGTTTCGAAACGATAAAATAAAATAAATAATTTGCAAATTCATGGTTCGCAGCCTCGTTGATGGTCGATACAATGTATTTTTCTCCATGAATTTACATGAAAATGGAATATAGTTCCCAGGGGAGAGAAACGTTTTAATTCTTGACCGCCAATTTGGCAGCGGTGACGTCACGTGCAAACCAGCAATTGTTGCTAACAAATGAAATGTATTTCCTTCAAGCAGCGTTCGTTTTCCTTACCAATGCAAGTGTTACCATCACCAGAAAAGCCACTGAAACAGGAGCAGTAGTACGAGCCATGGGTATTGATGCAGTTGGCATTGAAATCACATAACTGCTCAGAGGCTGTACACTCGTCTTCATCTGGAACAAACAGACAACTCCACCTGCATATATATATATACTTTTAATTTAGGAAAATACATTTAAAAGGCAAATTCCCTTAAGAACTGGTCTGAATAGAAAAAAGAAGTCGTTATGTCATGTTGCCATGGTTGCCATGGTAGCACTTAAGAACAAAACGGTTGCCAAATTACTTTTCTTCTATCGTTCGACAATACAAATGGTCGTCTCTATCAAGAAAGAAAGCTAAAATAGACGATCCAGAAATTTTGCTACCACAGTAACGTGACGTCACACTTCCCCATAAATACACAAGCTGAAAAGGTCAATTGAAGGAAAGTTAGTGAAAAAAGGAAACACTGAAAATAATACGGGTCTACACGAGGCAAATGATTCATAGGAAGTGAAGTAACTTTTCTCGAATAATAAGTTAAGATCGTTATGAGCTTCATAATCATACCTTAAGCTTTTTTGTGCATGAAATAAAACCATGACACAAGAAATTGCGATAACTGATTCGATAACCAAAATAAAGTTTCACAATTCAAGTTTTAAATAAGGCGGCCTACCTTCTGTGCTCATATTGCAGTAAACAAGTATAACTTTGGTTGGGATTACTGAATCAAGCCAGTAATTACCACTGACAGCATGCTCGCCTTCACTCGCCTTAACTTCTGTACATGATTTTGCTGGCAACTCAGGGATGGAGCCGAGAGAAACTAGAAAACAGCAAATGGCCAGGCAAATTTAGCACATATGATACCATAAGGTATGCGCCGACAGTTAACTGCGCACGTTGTTGCTATGATCCGATTTATAAATATCAATGCTTGGAAGATATAGGATTATTTTTTTTTGGCGTTACCTATTACCATATCTGAGTAATTGATAGTCCTGCACTGCTGGGGGTTAATGCGCACCTTGCCTATAAGCAGGAATAAAATCAAAGCACTTTTCCATCCTTTACCTACACAATTTTTGATTACAGTTTGAAATTAAGAAGAACATGTCACTGTCGTGGAGGGCTGACATGATGAGAAAAACATTGGTAAATTTTACAATACTTTAACAAGCTAGTGTAATGTACATGTCTAGCTATTGTTTCTAGACTCTAAAACAGTAGCGACACTTGTAAATTAAAGCTGTAAACGTTCTATCAAATCCACAATTTAATCCTCAGTTTGCGCATTCTGAACGTGCCTTGGCTTGAAAAGTTAGCTAGCAGTTTTGAGTTTAGCAATGCAAAAACTGATTTTGATTTTATGCCAGTATTATAACTGCCTTTAATTTCGACTATCATATATCAAATCATCAGGATCGGCATAAACTGTTAGACTCTGGTGTAATGTTTCACGAATAAACAGTAACTTTACATAAGCCTAGCTTACCCTTAAGCCCAGAATGGCACTTATCGAACAAGCTAAGAATGGTTCGAGTTTGAATTATTGAAGACTAAATTCAAAGAAAAGAACTCTTTATATAGATAACTGAGTACAAAGATGATATAGTCTCAGTCTAGAGAGCTAACGCAGCAATTTCTGTTTTGTTTCTTTGTTTTTTTTTTGGCATTTCTTGAAAAGTGTACTTAGACATTGGTGAACTCAAAACTGAAATATTAGGGAAGTATACTAATGGTTAGCCTCAGATGTTTTTCCTCATTGATATTGTTGATCGGCGCAACCTTTGATTTTAAATTTTAAATTTTAGCAGAAAACAAAAGCTTCATTCGAACTTCAATACTGTTATCCTCAGGTTTGGGTTTACTTTAACCCACGCAATATTTCAATAGACCTCCCCAAGTTTTTATTATTTTTATTTTTACGCCATTATATCATGGACCAGTTAGGGAAAATTTTTGGACACCACTGGTAAGAGCGCTTTTTAATAGTAAACTTGCCAAGTTTGAGAGTCATATTCGTCTTCTATTTTGCAGAAGCTTGTCTAGTGGTAGTGGGGGGGGGGGGGGGNAGTCATATTCGTCTTCTATTTTGCAGAAGCTTGTCTAGTGGTGGCGGGGGCAAGATTGTACCCCAACCATACAGACGTCTGTAAAATTTCGCTTCTGTGCAGAGCTATATTTTCGATAGTTTTCAATTAATATCTTTCAAACTTGGCAATTTTACTAATTTAAAGGAAACCTTTCCAGCGGGGTCGCCGGATTTTCCGTCCTAATCTATCCATGTCAAAAGTTGAAACCCGTGGGAATGTCAGGTAGCTAATAACAAAGTTAAGCCTCAAAACGGTCTGTGAAACTCTTTACCTCTATTCACGATTAAACCAAAGTAGTATCGGCTGTTGCTGGCTGTGAAATGTTCAGGTCGCGCTTCTTTGGTGCGGTTGTTGAGCTCACATACGTCTGTAGTAATGACATAATTGAAGCTCTGACATCTGGCATCTTCCTCGCAAGTCCTTAAACATTGTGACGGGCTCGAAGTCTTGAAAGTCTCAAAGATGTGTTGTCTTAGCATCATATTTTTAATGGAGTATTGGCCCGCTGTACATTGACTGAATACTCCGTAAATCACTTCGCAGATTATAAAGAAAACTGCAGCTGCAGTGAATATTGACTTCATGTACGGCATAAGGACCAAGAATTTTCCCATGGAAGATTAAAACGTAACAAATTTAACATTAAACACACTAGATTTGCAGCGCTCAATTGAAACGACAGCTTTTCAATCTTCTAACGGCCGTTAACTAAATTCATCCACTCATTTGATGAAACCTCACTAATTCTGTTGTGTGGATTCACTCTCCTGCTGACAACAGCACGACAGTCTGTCGTATTGGAACTCTTGTTCTAAAAATACTGCATTTTGAAATTGCGTTTCTTTTTTTGTAGTTTAATTATATTTCTACAAATCGTTTTCCAAGGCTCTTAGTTCTTCAACCTTTTCATCTTTTTCCTATACCTAAGAGGTCAGTCTGTCAATCTGAGGCTGTTTATGAAAATTCTGAAGCGTCCTAGCTCATCCAGAACCTTTATCGCCAGGATTAACATTAGCTCTGCTTCAATTAATCGTCTCCTAATAGAGATTGCTTGGAAAATTCTTCTTCAATAATGTTCAGTCAATTTCTTACCAGTGCTCGAGCTTAGTGTGTTCTCCTCAATTCTTACATATTTTAAGACGTCGCATTCCGAAAATATTTAATTTAATGCCTTGTCATTTGGCCTCTCCGCAGGGTGGAAAAGTCATTATTTTTTAGGTTGTTAATGTAGAGTTGTTCTGGTTGATAAAGAAGTAAGCTGCTAAAATCGTGGACGAAGATCGTGCTCGTTGTCAACGTAGCTAAAAATATTTGAAACGCAGAAATCAAGCAAGAAGTCTATGAGTACAATGATTATGACTATGACTGTTTCCATGAATATCGAAATCAAAACAAAACAAAACAAGCACATTTTCATATGGGACTTCATTTCCACTGGTAATGTTTTGCTGTTTCGTTTCATTGTAAATAATTTTCCTATTATCAATTTTCGATTTTTTTAAAAAAAAAAAGCTGAAGAATATTGTTTTGAGTTTCTTCACAGGGTTTAAAAGTCAAAATTAAAAATTGATCTCAATTTTCCTTTTCTAAAAATCAACACTGGTAATTTTGAATATTTGATGCTGAAAATTGAATTCAATTTTCTTTTTTTTCTGAATGAAAAATTGATTTTTGATTTGATTAAAATCTAATGGGAACACAAACGGAGCATGATTTTACGATGAACGATTTACTTTATTGAGAAAAAATTAAAAATAATAATAGTCCCTATGTTTCAACAAATATTCCGTAGCAATAAACGTTCTTCAACACTCATAACAATTAATCATTTTTTTTAAGTAAGACGTGTATTTTACTGGCACCATAAATAAATCCAGTAACCCGTTGACAAGACTTCAGAGTGATTTTCCCTAATTGTGCTTTAAAAAGGTGTTCCTTTTGACTTAGCTAAAATCATTATACACCGTAATGGTCAATCAAGAACTTGTGAAGGAGCATCTCAAGAGTAGGGTTTAAATTACTTCCGCCATTACTTCAAAAAGCAATGAGTTTTTTTCTTTCTCTCTCTCTTCTTATATGCACTTAATATTGAATATTTTTTAAGTAGTTTCTTACTGTTACATATGCGTACAACCACCAAATGGCGTAATACATGAGATTGAAATGACACAGGATAGAAACTATAGCTTAAAACAACAGTAGTTTCCTCAACATCGAGAATTACCCTGTCAATAAATACCATGTTTCTAAATGACTCACAGCGAAAATAGAACTGGCAAACACAGACAAGTCGCACATGAAGCCTGAAAGATGGTTTCTACAGACGCCCAACTCGTGGATATGCTAAAGGAGGTGAAGTCAAAAAGCACCGACACAATCATCCTAGAAAGATGCCTTTTTGCCCTAGTTGTATCAGCGTTGCTTTTTGGAAATGATGACTCTGTTAGTCCATGTTTTAAACCGTCAAATGCGAACGGTTCCAAACATGTTTGTGGCATCGCTTGCTGCATCAGACTTTAGTACGGGAATTTTTTTCAAACATTTTATCGTTCTATTCGGGAATAGTTTCAAAATGGCCTTTTGGCGATGCAACGTGCCGATTTCAAGGCTTTTCATCATCAACTTTGGCATTAACCTCGGTTCACACAAAGGCATTGATGGCGGTGAATAGATATTTTCGAATCGTCAAACCAGGAAAGTACCGACAACTTTTTACCAAGACGAAGACCAAGACAATGATTGTTGCGCATGGATTTACTCAGCGTTCCCTTCTTTGTCGTTCATGCTCAGGGGTGGGCAAAAAGTGGTGTACCATCCCTTCAAGAATTTCTGCCGCGTTCACCAGTTCGGAGGCAGCAGTGCATTTTCAGCCATTAGACTGGTACTTTACTTAGCTCTTCCAAGCTGCGTAATCCTTTTTTCCTACTTCAGAATCTTCCAGAAAGTCCGTAACCATAACCAAAATTTACACTTAGTCCCTAATGGCACAATGAGCGCTGTGAACGTGGAAGGAATTAAAATAACCCATACGCTGTTCATGATCGTAGCTTGTGTTCAGATATGTTGGGTTCCTATTCTTGCCATCGATATCGCGGATAGAGTTGACGGAAGATGGATTTTTCCTCGCGAGGTCTATGTTGCATATAGCTTCTTGGCCACATTAAACAGTGCGTTGAATCCGATCATATTAGTTTTACGTAACAGAAACTTTCGTCAAGAATACTTCAAGTTGCTTCGTAGCAGCTACTTTCGCCCAAAAAGTGTTGTTGAACCCATGTTTATTATAAACTTCCAAACTGAACGCACTGCAGTTGGGCCAACTTAACAGAAATTTCAGTTAAAAGAGCACTTGATTGTAAAGCTAACAATTCTCAATTAATAACCCCGTATTTGACATTTCTCAATGCAAAGTCTTGTTCTTTTGGGGTTTACGATCCAGAGTGATTGCAAGTTTCGGACGCATGCAGTCTGGGGCGCATGTTAATCTTATACATTAATTTAAGAAAACATAAGAAGCCAGAGCAATATTTAGAGGGTGAAATAGATCATTTGCTCAATTTACTTCCCGGCTTTAAGTTTTGCCTAATTTAAAGTGATTTTATTTAAAATATTTCTCGGCTTCTGATGGGCTAATTCCGACCACGCATAATTTATCACAACTAGCTATTGTCGACCAAATTTGGAAGAATTATGCCATATTGAACCAATGACGTCAAAAGTGCAGCAAATTGCCAGATTATTGAACTGTTAACCTAGAAAACCTGGGGAAGAGGTTTAGTTTTTTTTGGTCGTGAGAACAAAAATGGCGGAACATTTCACTTGTCTCACGAGGAAGAAATAGGCGAACTATTGGCTAAAAACATAGCAAGAACAGCAAAAAGATAACTCGAAGGGCGATATCTGCTATTTGGAGAAAATATGCGGACCTGAACAAACCTTTATTTCCTAACCTTGCCGATTAACGCGTACTATCACAGATTAACTTAACATCGATGAAGGTAAGCACGATTCAGCTTTTCTTTCTTTATTTTTTTTAACTATGAATTCTTTTAAAAGACTAATAAAACAATTATTGAATTTCCAATCGGTTTTAGTATCTTCTGAAGAATTATGGAGATCGAGGAGGGTGTTATTAGCCTGGGCCTACAGCCTCGACGGATGACACCCTCCTCGATCTCCATATTTATTTAGAATTAAACAAGTGTTAAGAATTAACGTTGCTACACTGTAATTTTCAGGGAGTTATAATAACTCCTCTAGTGGGGCTAATTTAACTTCTTACAGTGGAGTTATTTTTCGTGGAGTTATTTTAACTCCAAAAAGGAGTTTAAAGAACTCTTTTTCAGGAGTAAAAAAAAAGGAGTTATCCTGTACCTAAAATTTTTACTCCACTTTCAGAGTTAAATTAACTCCAAAAAGAGTAAAAACAACCCATGTAAGGAGTACAAGTAACCCCATTTCGGAGTAATTTTAACTCCAGACTGAGAGTAAAAAGAACTCTTTTTCAGGAGTAAAAATGACCCCAATATTCGGAGTTAAATTAGGAGTTAAAATAACCCCAAAAAAGGGGTTATCCTGTACCTAAAATTTTTACTCCATTTTTGGAGTTATAATAACTCACTAAAAATTACGGTGTAATGAATAATAAAATTAAAATCAATCTACGATACCGCTGAGAATGCAGATCATAAAAAACAAGAGAAACAGCGGCCTCTGCTATGGTTTTTTTTTTCTTTCGTTTCTCAATAAGAATAGGCTTAACAATCAGCATTAGATATCTAGTTTAGTTTTTTAGTTAATGTAATTATGTAGGTAATTTCTAATAGCCCCATTTTACAGTTACAGGTGAAAACGAGGCTGGAGTTGACCTTGTTTTGATACAACCCTTCCTGCTTTATTAATGTGCAATTCATGTAAGTTGTTCTTAATACGCTAACTAGTATTTTTGAAGCATAATTTCCATAAGGAAAGGAAAGAGGTTTGTATCAAAACAAGGTCAACCTCAGCCTCACGTTCACTCAAAGGCTAGGATACTAAGCCCACAACTATAGAATGGTCAATTTAACAATTAGTTCATGCGTCAGCGTGCGTATGTCGAGATATTGAGCACGCGGAAGTTCGGAGAGCACGAAAGAGGCGTAAGAGTAGCTCGAAGCGCAGCCGAGAGCAACTCTAGCCTTTTGAGTGCTCTCAAAAAACTTCCCAAGTGCTCAATATCTCGACATACGCATTGCTGAAGCATTAACTAACTGTTTTATAACATTATCAAAACGATCAATGCAGCAGTTAACTTAAAATTTTATTATTTTAGGGCGCGCTCAAAGCAGTACGCGTTAATGTTTACGTGACTATATATATTTTTTTCCTCACAGTTAAGCTTATGTTTTTATCCTAAAACTGGGAGAAAGTGTACTCTAAAATGATTGTATATAAAATCCATATTTAGGTGCCGGAAAACTATTAATTCACCCAAAAATTGTTATTGAAAGAAAACAACTTTGCAAAGAATGATCTCACACAATAGCCCGCACAGCTCGCGGAGATGACAACAACAACAACAACAAAAACACTCACCTCTTTTCCTTACTATCGGTTAACAAATTCAAACGTTTCCTCTTAAGTTTCCTTATAAAACACATGATAAACGCTTCATCGTGTACTGCTAAGTTATGGATGCACTCAGGAGACTCAGGATTGCTGAGCTCACGACAACTCGAGTAATTACGAATAGTTTATTGACGTCATCAGCGTGCTCAATAGGAATATGAAGCACGCTCGCACTATTGAATTTGATTAGGCGAATTTTCTAGCTATGTTATGATATTTAATGTATTCAATTCAGTTAACTGTTGCATATTATAACAAAACTACCTGACTAATCAAGTTACTAATCCTTCATCGTCTTTTCATACCCGGCTCAGGATGCCGGCAATTCTATTATTCCTTTTATACAACTAGAAATATAAAGTTTGTTGCTTCAATTTAAGGCCTGAGTTTAACAGTGTTCTGCTCTCAAGATTATTTCCTTCATCAGCTTACTGTGGAGCCAACTCTTATTCTCCTGTTACGTAACCAACATGCAGCAGTAAGCTCAACTTTTCCAAGTTTTTGTTTGGAAGAGATTGATCAGTAGTGCGTCATGACTGACCTCCTGCCACTTTACTGAAGAGGAAAGAGTTCGTATGTAAAGGAATACTTGAGGTGATATGCTTTAGTTTTGCGCATGTTTCGTGAAGGCGGTTTAACCACTGCCTCTGCTAAATGAAACGCTGGCTGATGACATTTAAGTAGGTGACAGTATCGCTACTGTTTTCTTCAGAGTATCTGGTTTGTATTAGAGTATCGATACTGTCTTTTTCAGAGAATCTAGTCAGTGCCAGAGTATTGTTACCGTCTTCTTCAGAAGATGTAGTCAGCGCCAAAGAATCGCTACTGTCTTCTTCAGAGAATCTAGTTAGTGCGAGTGTATCGCTACTGTCTTCTTTAGAAGATGTAATCAGTGCTAGTGTATCGTTACAGTGAGTGTCTTCTTCAGACCATCTATTCACTACCAGAGTATTGCTACTTTCTTTTTCATATAATCTAGTCAGTGCCAAAGTATCGTTACTGTCTTCTTCAGAAGATCCAGTCAGTGCCAGAGCATCGCGACTGTCTTCTCCAGAAGATCTACTCAGTGCCAGAGTATCGATACTGTCTTCTTCAGAGAATCCTGGTCAGTGCCAGAGTATCGCTATTGTCTTTTACAAAGAGTCTACTCAGTGCCAGAGTATCGCTACTGTCTTCTTCAGAAGATGTAGTCAGTGCCAGAGTATCGCTACCGCCTTCTTCAGAAGATAGTCAGTGCCAGAGTATCTCTACTGTCTTCTTCAGAAAATGTAGTCAGTGCCAGAGTGTCGCTACTGTCTTCTTCAGAAAATGTAGTCAGTGCCAGAGTATCGCTACTGTCTTCTTTAGAACATCTAGTCAGTACCAGAGTATCGCTACCATCTTTTTCAGAAGATGTAGTCAGTGCCAGAGTATTGCTTCTGTCTTCTACAGAGAATCTAGTCAGTGGCGCAGTATCGATACTGTCTTCTTCAGAAGATCTAGTCATTGCTACAGTAAATCTAGTGACTTATTTAGAAGTTCTAATCAGTGCCTTGGTATCGATACTGCTTTCTTTTGAGAATCTTGTCACCTGGTACAGTATTGTAGTATGCATCTAGATTGCGGTGTTCCATTGAGCAAATAAACAAAGTAGTCCCCACAATTTCGAACTTTAATATTCATGGACCATTGACAGCAGTTTGAGGTTTTGCGAAAACAGGCCCGCCTGGTGACTTTACCTTGTGCCACAGTGGGATGTGTGCCGTTTAACCAACCAGGGTGTTTGCTGCATTTATTTTCTTCAACACAACACGTTACCATTTTCTTCCCCGCTGATCCACTAAAACGATGCCACCCAGATAGGATGCTATCACAAAACGTACCTGCAGAAGACGTCGCTTTCCTACTACCTTGATCCAACGTTGTGTAGTTTTTACATTCTAGGCAAAAATAATTAAAGAAACTTTAAAAAACATGATTCATGACAGTTTTCAATTTGGTTTTCTTTTGTTTTACTTTTAGTATATACTTTATTTCTCACGTTTTACTTTATCACCAATAAGCCTCACACCAAATTAACTGATGAACCGGGTTAAATTTAAACTTTACGCAGAGGGTAACTTAAAGTAAGCAAATCCAGTATGGCGTCTTACAGCTGGGTTACCACGCACCCATGGTGTAAGCCTTGCTTATACGTTGAAAAGTAAAACAATTTTCAAAAGTTATACTGCACTCTATGGCACACGTGGGGAATACTAAGATATGGGCGAAAGTAATTTCCGCGTCTGAGAAGAAGTGCAGCAGACGCAGAATTTTGTCCTCTGAGGGGAGGAGGGAAGGGCAAAAAACTCAAGTCTGAATAGACATCTTGAGGAATGAACACATACGAGAGCGATCTGATGATGGCATGGCATATAGATACAAAGCTTAATACCCAGGGGGTGATACGAAAGTCTCTAGAGGGAAAACGTGCTAATTTGTGCCGCGCGCAAGCCCATTTCGGCGCAAATGTATCCATGGAAATAGAAGTGTAATTTTTTGGTATCGATCGAGTTTTTTTCGGCTGCGAGACAATAATCTCTGCTTACCTGGCGCAATGCATGTTTCTCCATCTCTATCATAACCATCTTTGCACGCACATTTGTATGATCCAATAGTGTTTGTGCAGGTAGCTCTATCTCTGTCACAAGTGTGATTTCCACCGCTGCACTCGTCCATATCTGTATGATTCCAAATTAAGAATGTTTCACGTAATAGGTCAAAATCAAAGGGGGAGTTCTTCATCACGGGTTCCAAACATCGAGAAACAGACTGATGAGAGCACGAGGAACGTAGGCAAAAATTTAATTGACACCGATCTACTAAAATTACAAGAAGTGTCATGGAAGTGTGGCGAATTTGCACGTTTGGAGTTTATAGAATTGGAGATGATTTTTTCATTCTCAGTCATCTGATTCTGGCAGTTAAGTTGTTTATGTATAAGTGTAAATTGAATAATATACATATCCTTTTATACAAGTCTTTAAAGCCAAGATCAAAGCAATTTATCACTTAGGAAAGACAATAGCGAATAGGCGGAACAAACTAACCACACATTTTAAGAAATGAAAGAAATTTTTGCCATTTGTAATAAGCTCATAGAAGGGGTGTGCCGCATATGCGTTTCACCATCATAATATAAGTTTGCGATTTATGAACGTAACTCTAATGTCTCGACTATCGTTGTATTTTTTTCCTTCTTTTCTGTTGTCGATGGCATTGTGAATGTTTCTATGTAAGCTTAGCAGTTAAGACCGTCTAAAAATAACGAAAATAGTTTATGGGCACAACTCAAGATCATCTTCTTGATCTTGATCTTCACGTCCTTACGCCCATATATCAACATCACCTAGTAACTTACGATCGAGGAAACTCTCTGGGGGACCAGAGAGCTTCCTCGGCATTAATTGGGAAGGATTTACCAGTGCATAATGTTCCATTTCCATTGAATCCAGGGCTGCATGTGCAGTTATAAGATCCCTCAGTGTTATTACAGAAAGCATTGACATCACAGTTATGGACGTTAGAATTGCACTCGTTGATATCTGAAGAGAAAAAATGCTCTACTCAGGGGCACCAAACGTCAATTTTCAGAAAATATCTGTTCGGAAGAAGATTTGAGATTTAGAATTTTCGGATCATTTGTTGTAAAATTTCTTGCTTGTGTGCCTCTCCTGGGATTTTCGAACATCTAAAAAGTAGTCTAATTGCCCATTTTTTTAACGGATTCTTTTTGCCTAAAAAGGTCACCTAGAATTTTCGGGAGCCTTTTTTCTGGCTGAAATTTTCGTGAAGGTAAGTTTTGATCCCTATAATTTTCGGATCACTAGACTTTGAGCTAGGAACTCCAAACAGATGAAAAATGTTTAGGGGATAAAAATATGCCTATATCTACCGTTTAAATACTAAAATACATTTAACAATGCTATGTTTAAGTGGTTTAGAACTATATTCTCGTCTGTCTAATTTTTGCTGACCGGCCTCTATGAATAAGGTAATGTGGATAGAGATACTAGAGATACAAAGGTACTACTGTCTCAAACCTCGTTATAATTACGGTTTTTATTGCATTGGACATGATGATTTACCGGCGCACAATGTTCCATTTCCAGTGTATCCAGGGCTACATGTGCAGTTATACGATCCCTCAGTGTTATTGCAGAAAGCATTGGCATCACAGTTACGGGCATTGGTGGTACACTCGTTTATATCTGAAAGGAAACCAAAAAAAAAAAGAGAGAGAGATAGAGAAAGAAAAATCTCCTTTTCTAAGGGCAGCAAGTGAACGTAAACATAAATTAACATATGACCATGTTGTACTTGGCTTGTGTTTGTTCAGGACTACGCTTAGTAGCACCGCTACTCCTAGCAGTTTCTACTGGAAAGTGAAGTGCTGCGAGTAAAGCATGGCATTTCAATTACTTTGAATCAGTTGCAGTTTATTTCTGTTGTTGGTATTTGATATTCATCGTGAAAAACTATGCATGTGAAACAACACGACGCGAAGGCGATCGATAAAAACTGAAATTTGAACCAAAGTAAGTGTTTGCATTAAGCTACATTGTATAAAAGTGCGTGAGAATAAATTAGCGTATAACAAAAAACGCGCATCGCGTTATAACCCTCACGAATCTCTCTCTCTCTCTTGTTTGTTTGTTTGTGTTTGTTTTGTTTTGTTGTTGTTTTTTTTTTTCAGTAGCACCCCTCAAATTAAGCCCCGTCGGGCAGAGTTAGGAAATGGATGGGTAACCCACCGCGAATATCGTCGTGAAGGTCCCTACTTTAGCTTTGTTCTTCAGTTTTCTTCTTCTCCTTTTTTGCGTATTGTGTGGTGTAACTAAGTATTTGTCTGAAACCTGTCCATGATATACATGTATATAGGTTAAGGGCACCCTTGCGATGGAGTGAGTTGTTGGCTAAAAAAAACTCCTGTTTTTTCGGCTTGATGTATACGTACCAGACTGAGGGAAATGCGTTTTGAAGCCACTGATCACCGGTAGCGGGCAGTTTAGAAACTTTCGAAAAGTTATAACGCTCGCTTATCTTGCACTGTTGAGTTGTTGGACAATTTAAAAAATTCACCTTGACATGTTTTGCCGTCACCTCTAAACCCCGCTTTGCAAGAACAACGATAGGAGCCAAGAGTGTTGTTGCAGATTGCGTTGTCGTCACAGACGGGTGGGGTCTTTAAGCACTCGTCATCATCTAATGGTACAAAACAGATTCCCTGAACATGTTAAATGTACCTACCTAGAATAACATTATAAAGGTGAAATTTCGACAGGACACCTGATAAGAGGGAAGCCTTTGTCAACTTGAAAAGTAGATTTTCCTACACGTAAAGTACTCCGCGACAAATAGGTTCTCATGTTTGAAAACTGACAGACAGCATTATGGTTTAATGAATGGATTTTCAATGAAGAATTTGACACTGATCTAGGAGTTAAAGGATAATTTTAAAAAGTTACCTTGACATGTTTTGCCGTCACCTCTAAACCTCGCTTTGCATGAACAACAAGAGCCATTATGGCTCTTGCTCTCATTCAATTCGTCAAATGTTGGCAATTTTTTTAGAGTGAAATTCTAAAGGACTGTATCAAAGTTAAGGAAAAGAAAAGGAAAGTTGTTGTCTTCGTTCACGTCCTCGACAAAACGTGAAATTAGGCACTTTCACGTTGTAGTCGTGCAGCGACGGCTAAGAAATGTTCAAAAAAGCGTGATGCGCGTGCAAAGTTATGGTTTTGCTGATCTGAAACCTCTTGCTTTTTTGCCGTCGCCGTCGTCGTTGCTTAAGCTCCCTAATATTACGCGACAGATAAGTTCTGTACAGTTTCCCAAATGATCCCCAGGCCGCAAATGATCCCCAAAATGGACTGCAAATGATCCTCGACCGTAAATGATCCCCAACTTTGACCGCAAATGAATCGGAATGGCTTAAACTCAAGTTAGCGGATCATAGTGTCAATTTTATTGTTATTACAAAAAGTGGTAAAAGTAAACTTTTGCTCCTCAAATAAATTAATACATAAATAAAAAGTAAATAGAAAATACATTAAAGACTTTTTTCAATCAAATATTAGCAACCAAGAAATAAACTTTAGCACACTAATTTTAATTCATCGTTAAATCAAGGAAAAAAGAGAATAGCAACGCATCGCAGTCAGGCAGTGTCTTGTTTATAGTTACCATTTAATAATTATTAAAACTTTTTATAACACTTTTAAAACATACTGTACTTCGATATAGATAAAAACTTTCTCAAAATCAATCAATCGGTAGTACTCATTATCAACTTGAGAAAATAATAATTTTTTTCAAAGTGAATGTAACACTATTAATTCCAGCTCAATTGCAGTTTTTGTGTAATACTTTGGTCCCATACATTTTCGTTAGCACGCCAAAACATTCGCCGGCTAACATAAAGAAAGGTAGTTTTTTTTACGCGTTGTGTATATAAATAGTAACCTGTGATCTGAGAAGAAAATGTTTTTTTTCCCTTGCAAGTTATGTTGTCAACCGCCCCATCCTTCATACAATATCCAACTAAAACAAATTCCATTCCTCAATGTTTTACGGGATCTTTTGCGGTCCATGTTAGGGGTCGTTTGCAGTTCATTTTGGGGATCATTTGGGGTCTGCGGATCGCTTGCGGTACAGTACAGCTCTCTTTATGTTTCAAAGCTCAGCATTATGGTTTAATTAAGAATTTGACACTGATTAAGGTCAATGTGTAGTTAAAGGACAATTTAAAAAAAAAAAGCATACCTTGACATGTTTTGCCGTCACCTATAAAACCCGTTTTGCAGGAACAAAGATAGGAGCCAAGAGTGTTCTTACAGTTTGCGTTGACGTCACAGACGGGTGGGCTCTTCAAGCACTCGGCATCATCTAATGGTACAAAACAGATTCCCTGAACATGTTAAATGTACCTACCTAGAATAACATTATAAAGGTAAAATTTCGATAGGACACCTGACACGAACGAAGCCTTTGTCAAGCTGAAAAGTAGATTTTCCTACACGTAAAATATTGCGTGACAAAAAAAATGTCTTGATGTTTGAAAACTCAGCATTATGGTTAATGAATGGATTTTCAATTACGAATTTGACACTGGTCTAGGTCAGTGTCGAGTTAAAGGACAATTAAAAACTTCTACCCTAACCTTGGCATGTTTTGCCGTCACCTATAAAACCCGGTTTGCATGAACAAAGATAGGAGCCAAGAGTGTTCTTGCAGTTTGCATTGACATCACAGACAGGTGGGGTCTTCAAGCACTCGTCATCATCTAATGGTACAAAACAGGTAACATACGCGTGTTATTTTTAAGTCAAAGTTGTGAGAAATGTAGTACGTGGACGATTTTCTTTCTACAGCTTGCTAACGATGCGTATACATGGCAATCCTATTTGATTTTCATCTTGGAATTTTGTTATCGTACGTGTATTTTGGCCTGCACATGTGCTCAATTGCATTTAGACTCAGAAACAGAAGGGAGGAAAAAGACAGATTATCATACCTTCTCTTCTCATATAAAACCTCAGTTCATCTGTCACAAAATCATCAGGTCTTTCTTCCTTGGTGTGACTGTTAAGCTCGCACACTTTACCCGGAATGAAAAAATTGTAACTTGCACACCTAGGGTCTCTTTCACAGGTGTTTTGGCAATCAACAATTCCCCTCACTGGAAACTCTTTGAAAGTGTGTCTCTTAAGTGCTTTACCAGGTACTGATCTCTCTGAAGTTTTACACGGCCCGCCATCAGCCTCACTTCCGTTCATCCGGGATATAAGACAAATTGTGAAGAGTGCCAGGAACATCGTTACGTCAGTGGTTTCTGAAATTTTGAAGAATTTTACATCTTATTTCATGTTCTCAACATCAACTCCCTCCCTATTCCATAGTTTCTTTCGTAACAAATTCGGAGGTATAGGTGCCGAACTACTGAGGGGAGAGGGGGTACTAAATGAAGCCTTATACAGGGACGCTCCGCAGAGTGTGCATACATTTTCTGAGCAGAGCGTCGATGCTATTGCGCCATTCTGGTGAGCCACAATAATGGCAAAACAGTTGTCAGCGGCTAAAATCCCGCAGTGTTTCAGGGCTTCTATCGGTGTCGCGTTTATGTCTTGCAAAGTTAATTTTACGTAGTAAGATCAGCGTAAATGGCGGATTTCCCTACTCTTTCATAATTACGGAACTAATAAGACGCTAGACGCTTACAAGAGGTCATGACGGTTTATCACGCTAACAAAGGAATCAAAAATGCAATAGTTGAAGTTGTTTTAATAGCTGCAAATTAAAAGACTTTCCTGAGACCATAATGTTTATCTGACCATACTGGTATTTTTTTACTTATCCTAAAAGAGGCTAAGCTTTCCCTGTGTAGACTAAATTTTCACTACTTGCTGGCCTTTTTTGTTTGACAGACGTTTGAAAATTGTAAGAAATATTCGTAAGAAATATTCGTAAAATGCTAATAAATGGCTTGAGTCACGGATAGCAGTGAGAGCCGAAACGGCGAACGTCACCGCTCATCGTGTACTAGGATGCAATACTTAATTATAATTATCTTACACGGGTTATAGTATCACAGAAACTCTTAAGAGTTGCTGTGATGTCATAATATATCACATAATTTCTTTACCCGGTTATTAGCATATTCCTGAGATTTTTTCGGAAAGTGACCGAGGGTCCCGGTTTTGATGCAAATTCTATTTTTTTTTCTGGTTGTGCACGTGCATATGAAACTTGAAAGCAATGCCAGTGAATAATGAGGACGCTCAATTCTAGACACAAAATCTTGGTGGGAAAAGTTGGTTTTATTTGAGGTCCTATTCAAAAGCCTTCTCTGTTTTAATTTCAATGTTCTCGAAACTTGCAGGTTATATTTATTGACGATTTATCTCGGGATTTTCAAGTGTATGAAAAAATCTATCGAGCGGTTTTTTGAATAATGCGAAATTTGTAGGCATGGACCAAATTACGTGCGAAAACTATAACGAGAGCAGCTGAATGCAGGTTAATAAAATTCCTCTAACTCGCCATCACCCAGAGGCAGTTCCCAAGCTCTTTTTTTGTACGCAGTTTCCCGTATAATCACTATGAGGTGAAGTCGCGTTTCCAAAGCTTATCATTTTCTTAAAATATTAGCTAATTGTGTGGATAGCGTGCTATTTCGCTGTTTTTATGATTCTTAAAACTTTGTTTCAAAATATTTCCAAAACGCTCTCATAGAATTTGTTCAACCTGCCATAATTGAGGCAATTATAGCAGGTACATACTGCCTTAAGCAATTTCTTAAAAAAAACTCCTAGTACAGAGAAACACAAAGATAAATTTAAACCGTAACGGCGACGTCATTGTGTTGCCATGGCGACTCCAATTGCAATAAAAGCAAGATCATAAGAAATTTTCATCTTTATATAATACAGTTGTGGTAATCTTTTTTCCATATCTTTACTCATGTCGACGTAGTTAATGCTCAAACTTGGGAGGGATTCCTCCCCCCCCCCCCCCCCCCCCAACCACATTAAACCCCCCCACCCACAACAATATTTATTTTTTTTTTTTATTATATAAAAAAAAAAAAAATATAAAATATTTTTTTTTTTTTTTTTTTTTTTTTTTTTTTTTTTTTAAAAAAAAAAAAATAAAAAAAAAAAATAAAAATTAAAAAAATTTTGTATTTATGTTCATTTTTTAAANTTCAAGTTGGTAGCAGAACACCTGAATTTTGACTGTGTGACATCAAAGCGAAATACATGTTAAAATTGTCGATCAACTGAGTTTATTCACTCAAAGATTTTATTCAATATCAGAAGATATCCGAGTAGGTTTCTTCTCCCCTTCTTAACGAAGCGTTTAGTTGGAAAGAAACTTTTGTTTTTTTCAGGAGGGCAGATTTGCATTCAAAAAAAGAATTTACTTGTGATATGACTTATAAAATGAAAACGAAAAAATTGATTGCGCGCCGATGAGTTTTGAAGCAAAATAAATGGCACGTCTCATCGATTATTATACGATCAAAGCTTAATTTGCTAACAGAGCCAGAAAACAGAAACAAACAAGCAGCTTGAGTTATTTTACTACTAAGTGTAAATCCTACTTTTTAAGTTAGAGAAATATTTTTAAAAAGCAGCCGCATTTTGTATTTAAAAAACAACACGCGTTGGCATGAAGGTTTCAAATTACCACTTTGTACTTTTCATGTTGTTATGCAAATTCAGGCCAATTGTACCGCGATCGCAAAAAGTATTTTCTACGACTTTTATTTGCTATTTCTGTGCCTTACCTCTTTAGCTTTGTTTTTGTTATTATGGCTTCGACTTTCTTTCACGATTTCTTTTAGAAACGAAAGAAAGCGAGTCTATAAAATTGCATGGCAATTGAAAAGGTTCAGACCGCATACATCGCGTGTGAATTTCCTCTTTATCCTCGGAGTAAACACGGACTGTCGAAGAATACTTTAATTTTTCTGACTTTCGGCGCGGCTAAAAACTTACACTTCCTATACTTCTAACTGTATCGTGTTTGATCTGAATTATTTTTGTAATTCGAACCAAGTTTGTTCTTTTTTGCAAGTCGGGTTACAAAGATTTTCAAAAAAGTGCCCAGCGTTGAATATTTGTGCCTAAACCGTACCTAAACCGTGCCAAAACTGTGCTCAAACTGTGCCTAAAATGTGCCTTAGCAATATTTAAAACGTGCCTTAACTGTGCCTAAAGTGTGCCTAATCTTTGCCTTTGCATGTTTTTTTCCCGTGCTTTGGCACAAAAACCGTGCCTTTTCTTGAGCGCGAATCGTGCATAAGGCACGGTGTTACGCTCGTGTACACCAGTAGCGTGCGCCAAGCCATGAGGATTAGAATCATACTTTAATGAAGATGAGAAAGGACAGCTTGCGTAGCGTGCGTTGAAGGAGGATTTTGTGGTTTGTTTGTTTGTTTGTTTGGTTTTTTGTTAAGAGACTCCGGCAGGCGGCAGCGAGAGCTGAACCAAGGTGATTTTTCCTCTCGCCTCCTCCCCATTATTGCATCTTTTGAATGTAAAACATTCACTATACTTAGAAACTGGAATACACCAATCATGGACGTACGCATGTTGCGCATTAATTTGGAAACATAGCATAACGTCGAAGAGTGATGGTGTAACACGGATTTTTGACCGGTTCATAGGTCACCCAGGTTCGTCTTGAAATTTCAAAGTTTAGAGTAACGTTGCACTTCGACAAGTGGTGACCGGGCTTAGTTTTCAAGATCGCAATTGGATCCAAATATGATATAAGTAGTATACTGACGCTACTTAAGATTAATTTGAGTAATTTAGAACTTTATTGTTAAACAATTCATAACGGATATTGAAAATATAAGGTTTGAAATATATTTACGTCCTATTTAAATTCAAACATATACAGAATTTTTTATTTTCATTTTGATAATTTTGAATCCAAAGTCAGTAAGTAGTGATAGTTCTCAAAATCGAAAGCGACAGCAGAAAACAAATTAAATTCAAGGAGTGGAAAACTGTTAAAAAAATTCTGACTCTAGTTTCTAGTACGTTTAGACTCGCTTAATTTATTTATCGATGCGTCTACTACCGCAATGGGGCAAACATTAAAGGAGAAATAACTTATTTGCATATTTCTCCAATTTAAAGAGAGACTTCCTCAAGCAAGATATGTTTCGATGTTTCGATCGATCTACGATCATCTTCACTTACAAATAAGTAGTTACGTTCTTTCGTCTGCGTCGACGCAGACACTCTAAACCGCCTGTATAGTGTTAATTTTCTTGTATCGAAAAAGCTTTTCGCAGCTGTAAAAGCAATTAAGTAAATTTAAAAGCATAAAGTGAAGGCTTAATTGTTTTCGTCTTTGGTATCTGGCCAAAGACAATATCCTCCTTCGTTTCGCCTTTTTTAAAGCCAAGCTTGCACTTTTTATAGTCTTTTGAAGTCACGCTGTTTGAAAATCTGGACAAAATGTTCTGTTTCCGAACCCGTAAAGTAAAATGTGTCTGTTAAGTTTTTTTTTTCTCTTTTATTTCGTCCACTTCTCGAAATAATAAAAAAAAACATCGCGTGCGTTGTTCAGCAGCGCCTACTGTGCTCTTACGGCGAGTCTCCCGATTATCCCTTGACAAAAAACTCCAAAAGTTTGCGGAACTCTTAGTATTGCATGAAAACAATTAGAACACTCACTCTTGATTTTTATCCGGTTTTGATCAGTTTTTGCTGATAGCAATCTCGAAATCTCGTCCGTTTTATAAATAACTTTATTTAAGGGACGTTAACAATATACAATATTCCTCTTTCTTTTGTTAATTTAGATGGAGTCCTTATTAACAACTTACGGCTCAAGGAGAAGTTTCGCTTATTAAAAAGTTATAATCAAATTGAGCGACTTCGAATAAGATAGATAAAATATGAAAGTTATAACGCAAATCAGCTTCAAGTAAGGTTTTTGCTACCGACCCCTCATGGTAGTTGCTTAAGGTATTTCGATAGTTTTTCAGAGGCCATACCGATATTTTTCAATCGCTCTAAAAGTGATCCTTGTCTGATCGCTATAAATTTTCACCAGTGATTGACTATAGATTGAATTTGTCAAAATGTAGGTTTTGTTAAAATTATAGCATCAATTTTTGCAGTTCTTTTGCACTGAGATCTGACAAAATAATTAGGACTAAACAAGATAACTTGATTAAACTTGTACAGATCATTGCATCTACAATTTACGATTAACACCAATAAAAATCTCAGAGCTACTTACCTAGGTTTTTTTTCCCACAATTTAATTCGAGAAAACGTCTCTTATGTTG